AAATGATCTTCCCTCTGTTATATCACATGCCCGTGTACTCATGTATGCGGAAGATGTCAAACTTTTTCTATCATACACTAAGCCCCTACATCATTATCGTCTACAAGACGATTTTAACGCTATGCAACTTGGGTGTTCGGCCAATCAATTGCATCTAAATTGTTCAAAGTGTATGTTTATGACATTTAATCGTACTACACCTTATCTTGTTAGTTATACAATCGACAATATGCCTTTGCAACGTATACTAACAGTTAAGGATCTAGGCGTTATTTTTGATTCTAAACTCTGTTTCAATCTTCATATAGATACCATTGTTAATGAGGCAAAAGGTGTACTTGGATTCATTAAACGATGGTCTAAAGAGTTTAACGATCCTTTTATAACAAAACTTCTGTACGCCCTATCCTTGAATACTACTCTTGCATCTGGTCTCCACAGTATAACAACAGCCAGGATCGTATTGAATCTGTTCAGAAGCAATTTCTGCTTTTTGCTTTACGAGGTTTAAATTGGGACCCTAATCTTCGGTTGCCGTCCTACTCCAGCAGACTGCTTCTTCTCAACCTTCCGTCGTTAACCAACCGTAGGACAATGCTCGGTGTTGTCCTTCTACATAAGTTGATTATTGGCGACATAGATTCTCCTTTTCTGCTAGGGCGTCTTCAATTCCCTGTTCCGGCTAGACCAACCAGAAATTATCGACCCTTATTACTATCTACGTGCACAACAGATTACGCTATGCACAATTCTTTTCGCGTGCTATGTAAAATTTATAATAGTTTGCATCACGTTTTCTCTACCGAACTGTCTCTTCCCCTAATAAAATCGTTGCTTTCAGGATACCTTCGGGAAGGCGCTGACCATTCCCAGCTATGAGCAGGGGCATAGCTTGCCGGACAGGCTGAAAAATTTCCCCCCATCCCATTACTTTTCTCTTTGCCCTATCTACTTAACACTCTTTATCTAACTTACATTGCTTTACTTTATTAACAATCTTCTTACTTTCTTTTTTCCTATTTATTGTATTTTCTTTATTAATATAGAAAATTAAGATTATTTTTAATATTACTTGTGATCACCTTTTTCCTACTTACAACCTTCTGCTTAGATGTAGGCTCTAATAGCGTCACTGACAAAATTATCTGTGAAAAGGGGCACAGCTGGCCCGACTGGCAAATAAAACACCTCCATCGATCGGTGATGCTATTTAGAAAATTGTATCCTTTAACTAGGCTTTTAGCGTATAATTCAATTGTACAATCTTTTGAATATTGAGGAAGACACTCGTTTTGTCGACCATTAATAAATAAATAAATAAATATTTTTGAATAAAAAATATACTATATTACATAGCATTTCATGTTCGTTAATTTACGTTTCACATTTTTTAAAATTCACCACATATTATATCTATATGAAAATATATACAATTCGTTCAAAAATATCTTTATATGTACACTTACTTAATATATATTTTATCACACATTGTTTAATACCATAATGGAATAAACACTTTAATTTTGATGACAAACTTGATAATTTATTTATATGTATAAATTATGTATGCATAACTTGCAAACATAATTATGCGATAAAAATATATTAAGTAAAACAAGTCACATACTATATTAAATAGTATGTAAAATGTTAAAGTTTCAATTATGACAAATATTTAAAATAATTACAAAAATTTTAGAAACTTTCTTTCCAGCGTACTTATCGTCCATACATCTGTATGAATCGAATTTCCACTGTATGCAATTGTTAAATTTTACGATAAAAGGAAACCCATTTGTTTACTCGATGTAGTAACAATAAAATTATTACAAACAACATTTCTTGCCTTGAAAGTTTCACAATTATCTTTTTCTTAATATCGTAAGCCAAATGTTATACAACTTAACAAATAACGATATCTAACTCAAAAAACGAGTGACAAACTCTTAAAATTATACGCTTTCAGCATATAATGTGATGAGCACACACTGCTCAGAGGAAGAAGACCAACATCAGATCTAGCCACCCTGACTCTGAGAATTCGAGCTGCACTAGCGAACCTGGAGAAATAAGGAGGAAGCCCGTGCGCAAACAGCGCAAACAGCCTTCCCGCGTACACCTACCAGACAGACCAAGCACCAGCAAAGCTGCTAGGGAAGATCTAAGAAGTAACCGATTTGCTTCACTCTCTACAGATGAAGACGACGAAGAATTTTCGGCCAGCGATGACTCCACTGAAGTCATAGGACTAGCTAAGTGCCAACCAAATAAGGAGCCTGCTAAAGAACCTAAGACGATCAAGCCACCACCGATTTTTATTCCAGACGTGACCAATATCAAAGCGCTTAAAAATGCCATAGCTGGCGCCCTTGGCAAAGCAGTAGAAGTTACATATAAGGCCACTAAAAACAACAACATTAGAGTAATGACGCCAGATAAAGCAAGATTCACTGCACTTAAGGCATTTCTCAATGAAAATAACAAACGGTATCAGACCTTTCAGCCCAGAGACGAAAGAGCCAACCGGATAGTGGTCAAAGGCCTGCACCACTCTACTGAGCTGGAAGGTTTAAGCAACTACGGGCACGAAGTAAGTAACATGTAACATCGAAGCGGCAGTCACAGAGCTAACAACTCATATCCACAATGCGGCGTCACATGCGGCGCCAAGACTCTCAAGCCGGCCCAGAGTTGAAAATGGAGACGTTCACCTCTGGTCACAACAAGTGGCCGAGCTGCTTGCTGAAAAAAGGCGTCTAGGGCGGGTGTGGTTCCTGTCCAGCAACCCGAGGGACAAGACAGTCCTAAATGGAATCACCAAGGAACTGAAAGATACACTCAAGATTCTAAGAAAAGATGCCCTAGATAGTTTTCTTACGCAGCTTGCCCCTAACGACCCACAACACAATCTGTGGCAAGTAACCAAGCACATTAAAAGGCCACAGAAAAGAATCAACCCAGTAAGAAAAACTGATGGCAGTTGGTGTAGAACGGAAACTGACAGAGCCAATGCTTTTGCCGAGCACTTAGAAACTGTCTTCACCCCTTTCAGCAGGTGCACGCCAGACGAAGCAGCCGAAACTGCACACCAGCTAAGTGTACCGCCCGAAGGAACGGAAACGATTCCACCGGTACATGAAGAGGAGATAGCGGAATACATAACTGCGCTAAACAACAAGCCCCCTTGTTCTCAAAAAGCCCCAGGTGATGATGGTATCAATGCAATGGCATTAAAGCTACTACCGCAAAAAAGCATCTCGTTCATCACCGAAATATATAACAGATGCATGGCAATCGGCTACTTCCCAGCGCAATTGAAAAGTTCGCAAGTAGTAATGATACCTAAGCCTGGTAAATCTGAAGATAATCTGGCCTCCTATCGCCCGATTAGTTTACTGCCAGCACACTCCAAGATACTAGAAAGAGTATTTTTAAGTAAAGTTTTGTCAGTATTGGTCTCATCCCGGATCACCAATTTGGTTTCAATGCCACAGAGTTGTTCAAACTATCCTCGACGCATTTGAGGAGAAAAAATATTGCTACGCCGTATTCGTCGATGTCAAACAAGCCTTCGACAGAGTTTGGCATTCTGGGCTCCTGCAAATGCTCAAGGGTAACCTCCCACACGCCTACTTCTTGTTTCTGGCTTCATATCTGGAGAACCGAACATTCCAAGTTAAATGTGGGGAAACATGGTCCAACACCAAACACATTCATGCTGGCGTCCCTCAAGGAAGTGTTCTGGGTCCGCTGCTCTATAACCTGTACACAGCTGACATGCCCGTCACTGGGAACCCAAACGTGCGCGTTGCCACGTACGCCGACGACACGGCATTTTTCACTCGGAATCACCTGGCGAAGCTAGCTCACTGATGCAGATGCAATTGAACCTTATCAACGACTGGCAAAAGCGGTGGAACATTACAGTCAATGGCGACAAGTCAAATGCGACTACCTTTGCACTCCGCTCGGGTAACTGTCCACCAGTTCAACTAGACGGAGTCACAATACCAGAAGAACCCAATCCTAAATATCTGGGAATAACGCTAGACAGATAACTCACCTGAAGAGCACACCTAATAAGCGAAACCAGTGTGAGCAGCGACTAAAAGCCTACTACTGGCTTATGGGCAGGAGATCAAGGCTTTCCACCTCCTCCAAGATTCTGACTTACAAGACGATCATCAGACCAATCTGGACCTATGGAATCCAGCTCTGGGGTACAGACTGCAGGTCCAATATCCGGATCATTCAAACATTCGAAAGCAAAGCATTACGCATCGCTACAAACGCACACATATATCATGATAACGCCACCATCCATGATGTTCTCAAGTTCCCCCGGGTGCAGACGAGATTGCCAAAAGCAGCAGACGATATATCAAGCGATTACACAACCATCCAAACACACTAGCCATTTGTCTGCTAGACAACAGCCAACAAAGAAGAAGACTCTGCAGAGCCCACCCACTGGATCTCCCGAGCGACAATATAGCCATTTGACCTTCTGCCATGGAATAAAATAGCCACTTAACTCTTTCTAAGAATAACAAATACACTAAGTTCAATACATGAAATACACATAAGTTAAGTTTATAATTATACAATTTAATGGTTGTCCACGAACGATAGTATTTAATCAGAAGGCAGAAAGACAAAAAAAAAATAAATAAAATGAATAGGTGTTTTGACACATCTTCTATAATGGCGATATTTTTTCTAAATGCTACCATTCACCTTAATGTCTTCATGTACTAATTTAATAATTCACTTTTATAACTTCATTATTCTTTTTATATAAACATAATTGACTTATGCCGGCAAGGCAACACTCCACAGTCATATGAATTTACCGTATTCAAAATTGTTCATATGACATGCCTTCCGCGACACCACTCCCTATATTTGACACATCATCTATTGTTTTGAGGAGATGCTAGTTTGCACCCCACTTCGGGCCCTTTTATGTTTTATAAACTTTAATAAAAATCAAAGGAGCCTTTAGACTGCTTATAATGCGTGATTTACTTCTCGAATTTTCAACAATAACTATCGATAGATTAGTAATGAGCAATTTACAATGGTATTTTATAGTGGATTAAAAATAATAGTATGTGACTTCAATATCGTGATTTGAGAAGTAAAGAAATATTGTAATTAGATATAATATTATTCAAAGGGCGTTCTGCTGCGAACATGCTCATGATGTGGTCTCGATTGGCAGAACGGCGATTTTGGCAATGGCTCTCTTGACCAGACCATTTTGTGTACGAATGACTGCTACTCTCACAATGCCGTCGTCATCCGTGATGAAGCTGTCGACTCGACCAAGTGGCCACCTGAGTGGTGGTGCATTGTCCTCCTTGAGCAGCACAATGCTGCCGGCCTGAAGATTTTGCTTGGACGGTCGGCATTTCCCGCGCTCTTGGAGCAACGACAAATACGATGTACTCCATTTCTTCCAAAATGATTGCTGCATGTGACATATTCGCTGCCAACGTCTGAGGCGACCTATGCTCAGGTGAGTTATGTCTGGCTCGTCGATAGTGGCATTGGCTTTGCCCCAGATAGAGTGCCCAGGCGTGAGTATTTTCAAGTCTTTCGGGTTTTCTGTAATATAGCAAAGCGGTCTTGACTTAAGCATTGCGGATATTTGACAGATGAGAGTTCGGAATTCGTGGAATGAGAGAAGAGAATTTCCAACGACGCGATAAAAATGATATTTTGCTGACTTGACAGCGGCCTCCCACAATCCTCCAAAATGTGGCGAACGGTGCGGAATAAATTTCCAGTTGATTCCCAGAGCTAGGCAGTTGCGAACAATCTCATTGCGCTGGGGATCGCTTATAAACAGGTCGCACAGTTCCTTTAGCTTATTTCGAGCACCCACGAAATTTGTGGCGTTGTCTGTCCATATTCTATGCGGCAGCGATAAACGATGACGTGGACAGGTCCTCTACTAACTCTAAATGTGTTGCTTACATTGCACAGCATATTAAAATTGAGATGTAGCATTTCGTTGGTGAGCGATTCTTGACCTTTGATTTGACGTAGAAAGGACCGCAAAATCGATGCCAGTAACGTGAAACGTCGGACTTGGCTGCACTCGCTCAGCTGGTAGCGGGGCCATGCCTTGCTCCATAAGTTTACGTCGCATTCGAAAGCAGCGCACGCACCTGTTGATGATATTTGAGACAGCCGTAAGACCTCCGATGGGCCAGTATCGCTGGCGGAGTGTTGCTAGAAGGAATTGCGGACCAGCAGGAAGAAATTCAAAATGATAATATGTGATCATAGCTGCGGTGACTGGGTGGCGTTTAGGCAACAATAACGGATACTTTGCTTCAAGTGAGTTCTGAAGGCGCCCGCCGATGCGCAAGAGTCCCTCAGCGTCCAACAGTGCGCACAATGAACGATGTTTGCTTCTTGTTGGAAGCGGCCTTTTTAAGCTGAGTGCTTTGTACTCTTCGGCGAAGTGCGTAAGTTGAATGTTTTTTATAAGTAAATGCGTTCCGCACTTGATATCATCTGGAGTGGAGTGGAGTGGACCTTTTGATCTCGTCGAAACACGTATGCGAAAGTGCGCAGTAACTTGGCAAATGTGTTGTTGAATTTACAAGATGCCGATAGGTCCGTCTTCATTGATAGTACCAGCACTTTCTGGCGTCGTTCTGGAAGCTCAAAGGGATAGGCGACGTTTTGAGGCCAAGTCGAGCTAGCGGCCTGTATGAATGGGGGTTCAATATGCCATAGCTGTGAGTCTAAAAGTTCCAAAGATGTGCATCCACGTGATAAAATGTCCGCAGGGTTCAGCTGAGAGGGTACATGATGCCAGGTCATGCCCTTGGTCCGCTCCTGTATTTGTGATACCCCGTTGGATACAAAGACGTTAAACTTTGAAGGTGAATCACGAATCCATGCAAGCGCTACTGTTGAGTCGGTCCAGCAATGATATCTGTATTTGATCTGAATGCACTTGGCATTGTTTCCTATGAGCTCTGATATTAAAAGTGCAGCTGCCAAGCTTTTGGGATTGTCAGCGTCTTTAATGGGGCGACCCTTGATTTAGAGCATAGCAAATGTGATGAAAATACCCCTTGCATTTCGGATCTGACAAATACGCAGGCACCATAACCGGCTGTGTTGGCGTCGCAAAATCCATGCAGCTCATACGTAGCCAGCGGCATCAATACAAAACGGGAGAACTTCAAGTTGCTGACAAATGAGAGTTGCGATATGAGTTTGATCCATTCGAAGTGCAGCGACTGCGACAGGCATTCATTCCAATTGACCCTTTCCCTCCACAGTGCTTGGAGAAATACCTTTAACCTGGTAACGATGGGCGCGATCAATCCGAGCGGATCGTAAAATCTCGCTATTGTTGATAATATGCTCCGCTTCGCTACTGATCCTTCGGGTACGATCTTCGCAAAGTTGAGAAGCAGGCTATCAGAGCTAGGGTTCCAAGCTAAACCAAGCGCCTTTGCAATGTTGGTGCCATCCTCGAACTCCATTAGCTTTTCACAATCGGATTCGCTTTCTCCTTTTAATGCATTGGGCTCGTTTGAGCACCACTTTCTGATTGGAAAGTGACCTTTAGCCAGTAGCAGTTTTACTTGCTGTCGGATCTGAATGGCTTCTTCTATAGAGTCCCGTCCAGAAATTAAATCGTCCACGTAGAAGTCGCGACAAACTTTCTTTGCAGCTAGTGGAAAGGTAGGCTCTTCGTCGCGGGCCAGCTGCTGCATCGCTCGAATTGCAAGAAGCGCAGCGGGTTTGGTTCTATACGTTACTGTATCCAGGATGTACGTCCTTTTGCTTTCATTTTGGTGATCACGCCTTAAGATGCATTACAGAAATTGATCTGGATGCGTTATTCGGACACAGCAGTACATCTTACAGATGTCACCGCAAATGGCAGCCTTTAAAAAACAAAAATGAATTAGAATGTTGAATAATTTGGGTTGAATTGCTGGGCCTGTATGCAAAAGATCATCCAAAGATGCGCCTGATGTGGATTTGGCTGATCCATCAAAAACGATGCGCAATTTGGTGGTTGTGCTATCTGGCTTTTCTACGCATTGTGGACAAGCTGCTGCTTGGAAGCCTAAGACATGTGGTCCAAGTCGATGTATTCGCACATGAATGCAGAGTAGCTCTCCTTCAGCTGGTGATTTTTGTCCAATTTGTCTTCGAGCGACTTGAAACGTCGTAGTGCACGTTGATATTAGTCTCCTAGCGTGTCGAAGCTGAGCTTTGCTGGAAGCCTAACTGAATACTGCCTTGACTTTAGTCGCGTGTAGCCTTGGAGAAATAGCTGCTCACATAGTGCGTCTTCATCAGAGAGCGCAGGGGTTGTACCGCAGCAATTGTCGACTTCCCAGAATCGTTTTACAATATCCGACAGTAAATCCTCCCATTAATCAGGTTCCTTGTAAAGGGCTGAAAGGGATGTGTGTTTGTTGTGTACGCGAGAGAGTCCGCCAGACGCAATCCATCCGAGCTTGGTCTTTTGGAGCGTTATCCGCCATTCGAATTTGGCCGATGCAAATGAGATCGAAAAATAGTCCGGCACCAAGTAATTAATCTATTCTTTGAGACTTGAAAAACGTTGGATCCGCGAGCGAGATGTTCTTGGAGATATTCCACCCAGAGATGTCTAACCCAAAGTGGGGCTGATAATCCGCCATACTACGAGTAACGACTGCTGAAAATGATGTGATGAAGCTCCTGTCACGTGACTGCGGTGATATGTCAGTGGACATGTTAGAAGATAGGGTTGATTCGCATATACCAGCTATTAATACGGCAGCATGATGAGTTTTGAGTTGGAGCTGCTTTACTAAACGAGCAGTGATAAAGTTGAGTTGAGATCCAGAATCCAGTAATGCGCGGCAGGGTATGAATATACCTGAATGGATCTTGGCATATAAGATGGCGGTTGGAAGCACCACATAATCTACAGGCTGGGCATTCGCGGCTTCAGGTGCGAATATAAGAGCAGATAGTTGAAAATGGTGGATTACTTAAAGACAATGCGTGAGGCTGGATCGTGGTTGCAGCCTGCATGCTTGGTGTACACAGGACAGATGCTTGAGTTATGATGGCTCATGTGCAGCAACGAATGATGTTTTTGTTGACAATGCCTGCAGTGACCTGAGCGACATTGCTGCAAGTCATGGCCTTTGCGCAAGCAGTTTAGGCAAAGATGCAATCGCTTGGCCTCCTTGTGGCGCAAATTTGGGGACATATTCAAAAACAACGGGCATGTAACAAGAAGATGCGCTTTGAGTCGCAAAAATTATAATTTTGCTGGTAATTGTTAGATGAGGACGCAATGAATTTGTTACGATTCGATTTTTTTACATTTCTGGTAACCTTAGGCTAGGCGTAGGTGCCGTAGCGCCTTTCAAGGTTTCCATCATGCGTCATCTCTTCTCTAAGAACGCCGACATATCCGTCCACCTGGGTAGCTTACCCGTTGCAAGCGCCTCCTGCCACTTTTTCTGGGTGTGGTGATCGAGCTTGTGCGATATTATTTGTATGAGTAATCCGTCAGCCAGCTCCTCAGTTGTTGACATGGTGCCAAGCGCCCGAAGATGCGAGTTAATTTTGTCACTCAACTCACGCAACGCCTCTGCTGATCCCTTTTCAACACCTGGCAGCCCAACTATAGCCCGCACGTGGCCCTGAAAATGTATCAACTTATTATCAAAACGCTTTATGAGTAACTCCAACGCTTTGTCGTGATTCATGTCGACAGGCTCTGACGATTTGATTCTGTTGAGAGCAGCAACATCCAAGAACGCACGTAAATGTTGTAATTTCTCAATCTTACTTAGGTCCTCATTGCTGCCAATGACAGTCTTGTACATGGTGTAAAAATTAGACCAAGCTGCAATTCCGGTAAGCGACACTTACGGTTGAACAAGTCAGCAAATGTGTGCGTACTTTAAGCAAAGCGTGGGATAATTGTTGAATTGGCGTCAGTCATCCGCCCCTAAGTGACTACATCCATTTGACGAGCGAGATTGGATTTGATCTTCCAGTAAACCTTCTCGAAGTCTGAGCGTGCGTCCGTTGAAAGCACGAGCAAATCTAATTTTTCTAGCCTTGACTGACTGATATCAAACTCAGCCTTCATGCTCTCCGCAGATGCTTTACGCACTATCAGATCGGCATCGTCAAAGCTGATCATCTCACCAGCTCTGAAGAATTCGTTCATTGCTAATAGTTGGCGTTGAACAGAACCGCATTTGGCTTTGCAAAAGTCTTTTTCACTTGTCGAATTTTCCATTCTGTTGTTAGCGAGGTAATGTTCGGTTGGTACGTTTTGTTGAGTGCTCACTGTACTCCGGCCTGTCAGCAAAATTCACTTATGGAGAAGAGCTTTGCCCTTGACCGATTACCGTTTTATGTGTGCAGCGGCTTGTGTGTGTGTATGTATCGAGATCAATTGTAGCGGCACTTGCATTCACATTCATATGTATGTATGTAAGTATGTAGGTATCTGCTCGACGGCTCCTTTTCTAAGCAAACGGTTGTGCTTGACACTGACATGCACCAAAAAGCTTGGATATAATAGCCGATCTGCTAAATAACGCGATAAGATCGTTAGAGAGAAGCGCGCACTCGAGCCGGTGTGCAAAATATGTACATACATATTTACATATGTCTGTTCTTGAGTTTAGTGCCTATACTGCAGCAGCAAAAGAGCGATGAACACCGAAAGTAAGATTTGCGGTAAGACGTGAAATATTGATGAGATGCTAGTTTGCACCCCACTTCGGCCCCTTTTATGTTTTATAAATTTTAACAAAAATCAACGGAGCCTTTAGACTGTTTGTAATGCGTGATTTACTTCTCGAACTTTCAACAATAACTATCGATATATTAGTGATGAGCAATTTACAATGGTATTATATGGTGGTTTAAAAATAATAGTATGTTACATCAATTTTCGTGAGTTGAGAAGTAAAGAAGTTTTGTAATTCTGATATAATATTATTCAGAGGGCGTTCTGCTGCGAACATTTATAAAGGCCACATTTTTTCCAAACGCTACCATTCACCTTAATGTCTTCATGTACTAATTCAATAATACACTTTTATAACTTCATTATTCTTTTTATATAAACATAATTGACATGCCGGCAAAGCAACACTCCAGAGTCATATGAATTTACAGCATTTAAAATTTTTATATGACTTGCCTTGTGCGACACCACTCCCTATATAGGTTTCTTGACACATCATATATAATGGCGATATTTTTTCCGGATGCTACCTCTCACCTTAATGTCTTTATGTACTAGTTTAATAAAACACTTTTATAACTTCATTATTCTTTTTATTTAAACATAATTGACTTATGCCGGGCAACACACTCTACAGTCATATGAATTTACCGTATTTAAAAATTTTCATATAACAAGCCTTGCGGGACACCACTCCGTATATATATTTTTTGGCACATCATCTATAATGGCGATATTTTTCCCAAATGCTGCCATTCAGTGTAACGTTTTCATGTACTAATTCTATAACTATTCATATAATTATATATAACTTGATAATGATTATATATAATATATAGAGATTAATGTTATTTATAATTTTATTTGTATATTAATAATCATATATGAATACTTGTATACAATTATTCATTTTTCTTTTTTATCAGGCCAGCTGCGCTCTGATTGGTCGCTGCAACCGTTACTGCGCTCTGTCAGCTTGCGTGCCGTGCGCAAATAACGGCGCACTAATACTTACACACGCAGACGCTTACACGCTTGTGCGCGACATTTCAATACACACACGACAATAAGAACACAACAACAAACAACAACACAGACTAGCACTCGCTGCTTACGCTCGCCAGACGGACAGCTTGCTTGCTCCCGCTCCCCCGTACCCCTCACCAACAAGATGGACAAGATGGACTAGCAAGCCGAGCCACGTGCTATACAGCTCATTAAAACTAGCAGCACCAAGAGGAAGAAGACCAACATCAGAGCTAGCAACCCTGACTCTGAGAATTCGAGTTGCACTAGTGAACCTGGAGAAATACGGAGGAAGCCCGTGCGCAAACAGCGCAAACAGCCTTCCCGCGTACACCTACCTGACGGACCAAGCACCAGCAAAGCTGCTAGAGAAAATCTAAGAAGTAACAGATTTCACTCTCTACAGATGAAGACGACGAAGAATCTTCGGCCAGCGATGACTCCACTGAAGTCATAGGACTAGCTAAGGGCCAACCAAATAAGGAGCCTGCTAAAGAACCTAAGACGATCAAGCCACCACCGATTTTTATTCCAGACGTGACCAATATCAAAGCGCTTTAAAATGCCATAGCTGGCGCCCTTGGCAAAGCAGTAGAAGTTACATATCAAGCCACTAAAATCAACAAACTTAAGGGTAATGACGCCAGATAAAGCTAGCTTCACTGCACTTAAGGCATTTCTCAATAAAAATAACAAACGGTATTAGACCTTTCAGCCCAGAGACGAAAGAGCCTACCGGATAGTGGTCAAAGGCCTGCACCACTCTACTGAGCTGGTCGAGATCAAGGAAGGTTTAAGCAACTATGGGCACGAAGTAAAAGACCTGTATAACCTCACACAAAAAAACACAAAAAAACCCCTAAACATATTGTTCGTAAATCTCGAGCCGGCGAAAAATAACAAAGAGGCATACAAAATCAATGGCTTTGCTGCCAAGGATACGGACACACTCAAAGATACTGTCACCTGGAACATAGATGTGTGAAATGTGGAGGCGGACACTCCACGTCGGAATGCTCAAAGAAGAGCAGTGACCCGGCCTTCTGCCTGCACTGCCAGGGTCCCCATGTGGCCTCATATAAAGGATGCCCAGCCTATAAGAAGGCAAAGAGCCTTTTAACGGCAAACGGACAGACAGCTCCAAGAACTCTAACTCCAGCAAAGTGAATGCAAACATTAGTTTTGCTAAGACTGCAAAGAGCACCTACGAGGCAAATCAAGCTTCCTGCCCGGATTCACAGCCGGACAATCAACTTAATGCGATAGTGACAAGGCTAGAGGTCATGTTTGAAAAAATGATGGATAAAATACTAGGTCAAATGACACAGAAACTGTTTGCTCCACATTATGCAAGAAGGTTTAGAGATCACGATCTGGAATGCTAACGGCCTGTGCAAAAACAGGCCTGAGGTTGAGCTTTACTGCAAGACCAACAATACCGAAATTCTCCTCATATCTGAAACCCATTTCTCTGAAAGATCTTACTTCTGCCTACGAGGCTACGACCTGATCTCAGCCAATCACCCCAACGGGAGAGCCCGCGGCGGAGCTGCCATTCTAATTCGTAGCAACATAAGTTACCTTCTCTGGAGGAGTGGATCCAATGCGCAAAAATAAGAGTGAGTACCACGCTGGGAGACGTCACAATAGCCGCTGCCTACTGCCCCCCAAGCACAATGCTAGGGACGAAGAATTCAGGACGCTAATGGACAGCCTAGGCACAAGGATTCTAATAAGCGGAGACTTCAACGCCAAGCACACCTGGTGGGGATCCAAAACAAACAACCCTAAAGGCTACGCGCTGTTCAGGCAAACCCGCTTAGGAAACCTCGACTGCCACGGAACAGGCGCACCTACATACTGGCCTACAGACCCATAAAAGGTGCCAGACGTCCTGGATATTGCGATAACTCGTGGTTTAGATACTGGTATAATCCAAGTCAGAGAAGTAGAGGACCTCCTATCTGATCACAGCGCCATAGCCATCTCTATATTTGCTGCAGCCATGAGGAAGTCTGCCTGCAAGTAGCTTAAATATAAAGCCACTGATATTGGCGAATATTAAACACCCACTGAATAGCCCGGATGACATCGAAGCGGCAGTCACAGAGCTAACAACTCATATCCACAATGCGGCGTCACATGCGGCGCCAAGACTCTCAAGCCGGCCCAGAGTTGAAAATGGAGACGTTCACCTCTGGTCACAACAAGTGGCCGAGCTGCTTGCTGAAAAAAGGCGTCTAGGGCGGGTGTGGTTCCTGTCCAGCAACCCGAGGGACAAGACAGTCCTAAATGGAATCACCAAGGAACTGAAAGATACACTCAAGATTCTAAGAAAAGATACCCTAGATTGTTTTCTTACGCAGCTTGCCCCTAACGACCCACAACACAATCTGTGGCAAGTAACCAAGCACATTAAAAGGCCACAGAAAAGAATCAACCCAGTAAGAAAAACTGATGGCAGTTGGTGTAGAACAGAAACTGACAGAGCCAATGCCTTCGCCGAGCACTTAGAAACTGTGTTCACCCCTTTCAGCAGGTGCACGTCAGACGAAGCATCCGAAACTGCACACCAGCTAAGTGTACCGCCCGAAGGAACGGAAACGATTCCACCGGTACATGAAGAGGAGATAGCGGAATACATAACTGCGGTAAACAACAAAAAAGCCCCAGGCGATGATGGTATCAATGCAATGGCATTAAAGCTGCTACCGCAAAGAAGCATCTCGTTCATCACCGAAATATATAACAGATGCATGGCAATCGGCTACTTCCCAGCGCAATGGAAAAGTTCGCAAGTAGTAATGATACCTAAGCCTGGTAAACCTGAAGATAATCTGGCCTCCTATCGCCCGATTAGTTTACTGCCAGCACTCTCCAAGATACTAGAAAGAGTATTTTTAAGTAGAGTTTTGTCAGTATTGGTCTCATCCCGGATCACCAATTTGGTTTCAATGCCACAGAGTTGTTCAAACTACCCTCGACGCATTCGAGGAGAAAAAATATTGCTACGCCGTATTCCTCGATGTCAAACAAGCCTTCGACAGAGTTTGGCATCCTGGGCTCCTGCAAAAGCTCAAGGGTAACCTCCCACACGCCTACTTCTTGTTTCTGGCTTCATATCTGGAGAACCGAACATTCCAAGTTAAATGTGGGGAAACATGGCCCAACACCAAACACATTCATGCTGGCGTCCCTCAAGAAAGTGTTCTGGGTCCGCTGCTCTATAACCTGTACACAGCTGACATGCCCGTCACTGGGAACCCAAACGTGCGCGTTGCCACGTACGCCGACGACACGGCATTTTTCACTCGGAATCACCTGGCGAAGCTAGCTCACTGATGCAGATGCAATTGAACCTTATCAACGACTGGCAAAAGCGGTGGAACATTACAGTCAATGGCGACAAGTCAAATGCGACTACCTTTGCACTCCGCTCGGGTAACTGTCCACCAGTTCAACTAGACGGAGTCACAATACCAGAAGAACCCAATCCTAAATATCTGGGAATAACGCTAGACAGATAACTCACCTGAAGAGCACACCTAATAAGCGAAACCAGTGTGAGCAGCGACTAAAAGCCTACTACTGGCTTATGGGCAGGAGATCAAGGCTTTCCACCTCCTCCAAGATTCTGACTTACAAGACGATCATCAGACCAATCTGGACCTATGGAATCCAGCTCTGGGGTACAGACTGCAGGTCCAATATCCGGATCATTCAAACATTCGAAAGCAAAGCATTACGCATCGCTACAAACGCACACATATATCATGATAACGCCACCATCCATGATGTTCTCAAGTTCCCCCGGGTGCAGACGAGATTGCCAAAAGCAGCAGACGATATATCAAGCGATTACACAACCATCCAAACACACTAGCCATTTGTCTGCTAGACAACAGCCAACAAAGAAGAAGACTCTGCAGAGCCCACCCACTGGATCTCCCGAGCGACAATATAGCCATTTGACCTTCTGCCATGGAATAAAATAGCCACTTAACTCTTTCTAAGAATAACAAATACACTAAGTTCAATACATGAAATACACATAAGCTAAGCTTATAATTATACAATTTAATGGTTGTCCACGAACGATAGTATT